GAGTAACGGGTATCTGATAGTCGAGGTACTCGACTATATCGTTCTTCCTTGTGTTACTATGACTTTCCTCAAATCATGGCTAATTTCTTTTGACTTTTTCCCCATAATAAAAATAACGTCTAGTTACAACATGAATATGCCAGAAATTATTAGAAACATGTAAACAAACTTTGATTTACAGTTATCAGCCAAAGCCGCAATTTAAAAGCTTTTAATACCGTTCTTTTTGCATTCTTTTCCTTTGTACGCATACTTTTTCTGATGCGATATCGGGCCTTTTTGTACATTTTAATTTATATAAGGAAAAATATAAGTGTTAGAAATTTAAGAGTTTAATTAAACGACAGGTAAATAAAGATATTATCCGTAAAAATTAAAAGAAATGTTTAACATTTTTTGAACATGTTTTTATACCCGTTACTCGTAGAGTAAAAGGGTATACTAGATTCGTCGGAAAGTATGTAACAGGCGGAAGGAAGCGTTTCCGACCCCATAAAGTATATATATTCTTGATCAGGATCACTAGCCGAGTCGATCTAGCCATGTCCGTCTGTCCGTCTGCCTGTCCGGATGAACACTGAGATCTCGGAAACTATGAGAGCTAGGCTATTGAGATTTGGCGTACAGATTCCTGAGCTTCTTACGCAGCGGAAGTTTGTTTCAGTAGACTGCCACGCCCACTCTAACGCCCACAAGCTGCCCAAAACTGTAACTCCTACAGTTTTGATGCTAGATAGAAAATTTTAACTGAAATGTATTGTTCTCATCAATACCTATCGATTGACCTAAAAAAAGTTTGCCACGCCCACTTAAACGCCCACCATCCGCAAAACCTGTGACGCCCAAAATTTGCATGCTGGATAAAAAATGTATGTGAAATGTATTGCTATCGTCAATACCTATCGATTGATCCAAAAACAAATTTGCCACGCCCACTCTAACGCCCATAACGCTTAAATCTGTATACCGCCGGTAGGTGGCGCATTTTAATCTCGCTTTGCTGCTTGCATATCTCCATTTCCCTTTGAGTAACGGGTATCTGATAGTCGAGGTACTCGACTATAGCGTCCTTTCTTGTTTTTAACTATAAAGTTCCCGGAAATTTTTGTATGCATAAATCTTCTGGCAAGTGTATATATACATACATATATTGCATACGCATATGTTTTTGTACTTTTGAGGTTATGTTGTGAATCACCGTGCGTCCATGCAAACTGCGTAGTTACAAGCATAGAGCAGTGGTCGGCAGCGGCCTATCTAGTGAGCATAGGGAAGTGCTCTGCCCATCCTCTGCTCGCTCACGTATAACGTACATGTTCGTGTGACTTCGGCATGGGTCTTCGGGTCATTTTTTTCTCAACTTCGGCTCGCTTTTTTGTTGCTGCGGCAGAGGATCTCAGTGCAAAGCAGAGAAACGTCTCGCTTCAGCACGCCGCGCGCAAACTTCGTGTTTGTTACACTCACACTAATGCAAGGCAAACTTGTGATGGTATGTGTGTGCCGACCACTGGCATAGAGTAATGAACTATATAGAGGCGCCAATTGCTCTGCCGCTCTCTTTAGATAATGAGGCTATGATGCCACCTAGGCGAAAAAAGCTTATTTCCCCTCTTTTTGTAAAGTTCGATCGAACTTGTAATTCATTCCCACCTCATTCTGCACCGCTCTTGCTCACTGTTTTGTTTTTGTTTTTAATCAAAATCCCTATTGCTGTTGCTTCGCACCTAAGTTAGCTTCAAACTTGGCCTTGAATTGGCTCTTAGCAGAGGTTGGGCAGAGGTTCGGGCAGAGCAATTGGCGACTCTATATACAGCTGTGTTCAATAAAATAGCAGTGCGACAGAAGCAACACTATATAACGGTTTATTAGCATAGTCCCTTTTTGTTAGTTGATCGCTAGTACATTTTTTTTGTAAAATGGATCGTAGAGATAAGAAACAAGTAAAAGTCCCGTTAGATCTGGTTAGTTTTTGGGTTATTTTCATATTTTTGCACACAAGCACAACGTTTTGGCTTATCACTGAAATAGCAGTATTTGATATTCTCCCACGAAAAGTGCCGAAAACTTTTGTAATTTGGTGAAAAGTGAGTTTAATTAAGATCAGTATTACAAATTATACGACAATACACAATAACTATGGAAAATTTTTTATTTTAGTGGGAAGAGGACCTCATTGTTCCAAGGGAGAAAGAGAAAAAATCATTGAGCTTACCATTATTTGGTAAAAGACATCTCAAAGCCAGGATGGAGTTTGCCAAACGCCACTTGAATTGGCCACTATCCAAATTGCGTAATATCCTTTGGACAGATGAGTCCAAACTGGTGTTATTTGGTGGAACAGGCTCAAGACAGTATGTTCGTCGACCACCAAACACCGAGTACCACCCAAACTATACGCTTAAGACCGTTAAGCATGGTGGCCTAAAAATCATGGTATGGGCATGTTTCTCATACAGCGGTGTGGGCCCTATACAAATGGTCGATGGTATCATGGACCAACAGGTGTATGTAAATATATTGAGAAACGTTATGATGCCTTATGCTGAGGATGAAATGCCCCAAATTTGGACATTTCAGCAGGACAATGATCCAAAACATACCAGCAAATTGGCCAAGGAGTGGTTTAGCCAAAACCAAATAGACGTAATGCCGTGGCCAGCACAGTCCCCTGATCTAAATCCGGTCGAAAACCCGTGGGGGGACATTGGGCGATATGTGTCGAAGAAATCCCCGACTTCTAAGCCGCAGCTTTGGCAAGTTGTGCAGGACGGATGGGGCCAGATTCCCCGCAAACGTTGCGAGGACTTAGTGGACTCCATGCCACGTAGGTGTGAGGCTGTAATAGCCAATAAAGGCTATTCAACAAAATATTAGATCGTAATCAAATCGTTATTTAGTAGAATTAAGTTATTTATAAGCTACATTGAATTTTATCATATTTTTTTTTAGCACTGCTATTTCAATGAACACCATAAAGCAGTCCTTTTTGTTTGTTATTATCCATATTTTCTTTAATATTGAAGTACCTAAGATGAACAAGTTGTTAAATTATTTAAAAATAAATATATTAAGCTGTTATAACTAAATTTGGTCTCAAAGTTGTGTTTATAATAGTATTTTTCAAATGTGAACGTGTAGGTCGTAAGCACCGCTATTTCAATGAACACAGTTGTAGATTCTTACTCTATGTTACAAGTCGAATAAAAAACTGCGCTACATGCATAGATATGCTAACAAACATACATATATATGTTCATAGAAATCTGTGTTTGTTAATAGCATCCTATTTACCTAATTATTTCACACATTAGCTTATAAGCTAATAATTATTAGTTTACGTTACGTTACGTTTATGTTTGTGTATATATGTATGTACATATGTATGCAAAACAGTTATTACAACACATTACCGATTTCGTTTCATTCGAATTAAAATCAGAGATAAACTAACACACTAACACAAATTGTAAAAAAATCATTTTACTTACGCTGTAAATATGGAAGGGCTTTTATTAGGTTGAATTTCTTCTATTTGCAGCGATATAGACGCCGCTTATTTCGATAACTTTGCGGTAATTTCATGAGAGGAGTTTTGTCTCTCTCCTCTTACTCTCATTTTTTCTACGTCTTCCCCTCCCGAACCTCGTCAACAACCGCAGAACCGAGATTGATTTAGTTCGGAATACTGAAATCGACATCGAAGAACAGCTCTCGATTTTTTTTCGTTCACAATTTCTCTGGGTATAACCGTTGAAAAAAATTATTTATTATATTATTATTATACCCGTTACTCGTAGAGTAAAAGGCTATACTAGATTCTTCGGAAAGTATGTAACAGGCAGAAGGAAGCGTTTCCGACCCCATAAAGTATATATATTCTTGATCAGGATCACTAGCCGGGTCGATCTAGCCATGTCCGTCTGTCCGTATGAACGCTGAGATCTCGGAAACTATGAGAGTTACAATACTGGGATTAGGCACGCATATTCCTGAGATTCCTGCGCAGCGCAAGTTTGTTTCAGTAGAGTGCCACGCCCACTCTAACGCCCACAAACCGCCCAAAACTGTGGCTCCTACAGTTTTGATGCTGGATAGAAAATTTTAACTGAAATGTATTGTTCTCATCAATACCTATCGATTGACCCAACGCCCACAAACAAACACAAAACTTTAACGCCCAAAACCTGTGACGCCCACAATTTTCATGCTAGATAAAAAAATTTAACTGAAATGTATTGGTCTCGTCAATACCTATCGATTGGTCCAAAAAAATTTGCCACGCCCACTCTAACGCCCATAACGCTTAAATCTGTATACCGCCGGTAGGTGGCGCTTTTTAATCTCGCTTTGCTACTTGCATATCTCTATTTAGCTGAGTGACGGGTATCTGATAGTCGAGGTACTCGACTATAGCGTTCTTCCTTGTTATTATTATTATATTATTATTTTTAACTATTATTTTACTGTTTTCCAAATAAGTATCACTTTGTAAATTTATGTAGGAAATGTCAGGAGATAATAAATAGGCCCCTTACTCTCATGTTATATATTTTTATAACCGTTACTCGTAAAGTAAAAGGGTATACCCATATACCCATTACTCCTTACCTTCGTACTCACCGCAGCGCGCACTATACGCCCACAAACCACCCAAGACTGTGGAAGAATAAAAATGTTAACTGAAATGTATTGCTTTCGTCAATACCAACAATTGACCTGCAAAAGTGCTACCGCGCCCACAAACAATTCAAAATCGTCCATACGAAAACGGTAATCCCAGAAACTTTAAAAACTAGAAAGTTGGGAGTAAACAAACATATAGATTCCAGAGATTTTTGGGCAGCTCATGTGTATTTCATCAGGGAGCCAAGACCACTCCAACGCTTACAAACTGCCTAAAACTGTGGCGCCCACAATTTAAAATATTAAAATCTAAAATCAATTATATTCTATTCCGCTTTTAAAACACACCGGCACTCTGAAATTTGATAATCGTACCATTAGTAAGTAAGGACCTTAGTTTGACCTTATATTGCAAAATATCTTCAATGAATCACAATGAAATTTAAAAGTGAAAAATTTTAAAAATGTAAGGTATATAGAAATGTAAACATTGATGTGCATTTATTTTCAAGTTGGTTAGCTGAGTATCGGTTGTCTGATAGTCGAGACATCCGGAGTTTTCTCTTGGCTTTAATGGCGATTGCTTAAAACCTTCGTTAGAGCTTCCATTTTGTTTTCACTATCACCACTGAAACTTCTTTTGTGTAAGTTGTTACTACATTGCCGCCCTTGTCATCGCGTCTGCGGTCGCGGCAGACTTTTCCAGCCTAAACTTTTGCACCTTGTCAAAGTAATCCTTTACGTCCTGCCTGCGATAAAGTTTTGCCAAGTCGGTGCAGGATTTGCCGACGGCATCCAAAGCCGCCAGGTCTGCGCCGTGTGTAACAAGAACTTTGATGAGCTCCATGCTAGCGTCCATGACCACTGCAACCGTAATTCCCGTTAAGGCCCTACTTGAGCAGTTCCCCTCTCAGCTTTTAAAGTCTTACCTGCTCGCATAAGAAGGGTCCAGCCACAGATGTCCCTGGCCTCCGCGTTCGCCCCCGCCTCGAGAGCAAATTTAAGCATTTCCAACTGATTGGCATCGACGGCGCAGTGAGCAGGGGTCATGCCATTGCTGTCCGTCGCCTCCAGGTGCGCCTTCTTGTTCAGCAAAATGCGCGCGGATGGCAAGTGACCGTGATAGAAAGCCAGCTGTAAGAGTATCAATTACTACCCTAGCTGCTTGCGATTAAAACTTCGAGCGTCTACCAACATGAAGCGGTGTTCGGCCACTTCCTGGATATCCTAGATGAACGCTGCAGCCGGCCGATAGCAGCACGTCAATAATGCACATCTCTCCCTGAATAATTGCATTGGCAAGTGGCAGCAACCCGTTCGGAGCGGGGTATTCTATTAAGCTCGGACGTCGCCGTAGCATACGCTTAACCAGAAATTGCTGGCCTTTTCTGATGGCTCGGTTTAAGCAATTGGTTGATGGCAGTGCTGCCGCCGTGCACGCCTAAAAGTTAAGATAATACAATTATTACTGACATAAGTATGAAGAATAATGTATATAATTACAATAATATCTGGCGAGATGGCCAAGGCCACATAGCGGCTTCCGTCTTCCGAAACTTTCAAGGCTTTAATGCGCAGTCGATATCCGAAGTTTTCTTCCATATTAGTAACCTCTACGGGAGAGCGGGTACTCCACTCAACCTGAAGCCAGCCAAGGCGTTTGTGAAACTTCTCTATGCTGTAAACCGTTGCATCTATTAATAACGGCCAATCAAGTTTCACACTGTTCACTTTGGAATTAATAATTCTCGACTCAAAATAAGGCCAAGAAAGTTCAGGTTCCCCTTGAGCCAAGTTATTGGCAAGCTTTTTACCACTTTCTTTGTGATTGCTGTCGGACATGCTGTAAGTCAGACAACCCTTAAGGTATTGCCCATATTGTAACTATTTTTCCCCAAACATAAGCAATAACAGGTCCACGCCCCTGCACGGCATGGCCGCCATGGTTACCGATGGTAATTGGATATGCGATATCCCGCAACAACATTGTAATAAGTCATCTGATTTGTTCTCTTCAGAGAAAAACAAGAGAGAAAGCTATAGTCGATGCCATCGACTATCAAATGCCCGTTACTCAACTAAGGGAGTGCAAGGGAGATGGAGATATTAGAGCAGCAAAGCAATTGTAACCAAGATTGTACACTGTATTTGTCTATAACTTTTTAATGAATGGCCAGATATAAATAATTTTTGGCATGTAGATGAATAGAAATAATAAAAACAAATCAAATTGAAATTTTTACAAAATATTAAAAAACGTGGGTACTAGACGGGTTTTTCGTTTTGGGCGTTGGAGTGGATGTAGAACAGTGCTAAAATAAACTTGCTCTGTGCAAGAAGCTAAAGAATCTATATGCCAAGTTCCAGCTTTCTAGCTTTTATAGTTTCAATGGGGAGAAAAGTCAGAAGGACATGTCTAGATCGACTGCGCTAGTGATCCTGATCAAGAGTATATAACGTATATATAAAACGTTTTTGGAAAGTTTCAAAAGATTTAAATGCCCTTCGAAACACTTGTGTCGACCAGCCTTATACAATTAACAAAATAAATGATAGGGAAATTAAAGGCCTGATGGATATTTTGGCAGCAAGGATCTGTAGTGGTGGTCAGTTTACTCAGGAGATTCTCGGAAGTAACATATCCATTCATAGTCCTTAAAAATATTTCTGCTGCTGATGGCAGCAGGATCCAGCTTCTAAGGATAAGACCGCGTTCACAAAACCAGGGCGTCCACTTCCTATAGACAGTACTTGATTGCATCCGGGCAGTGGATTGACCATTAAATTCCAAAAAAGGTATTTCTGTATACAAGAGGTGAAATATTTAATTCATATAATCGGGGAGGGAGCGCAAAGATCCGGAAAAGGTGTCAGCTACTGAGCAGCTTCCGCTGCCCAAATCTCTAAAGAGTTTGATAGTTTTGATAAGGTATCTGCACCGCTCACCGTCTAACTAATGGCAAAAAAAAGGTTTAAGGTGATGAAGGACGGGCAGGAGGCAATCTCGGAACTAAAACGAAAACTATGTTCGGCACATGTACTTAGAAGCTCGAATTGCTCAAAAGCTTTTTATATTCACTGCGATGCCAGCAAAAGCGTGGGGGCGTTTTGATCCAGAAGACGGAAGAGGGAGACGAATACCTGATCGAGTACCTACTCTGTAACTGAGAAAGAGTGCTTGGCGGCGATAGTGAGCGTTAAGCGGTTTCGTCCCTCAGTAGAAGGCCACGACTTCACCATTGTCACAGACCATGCTTCGCTTAAGTGGTTGATGGCCTCCCATGGCACGCATACAGCGGTCGCGCAGCGGTAACGTAGCAATCTTTGTAGTCTTAGATCACTTTTTATACCCGTTACTCGTTGAGTAAAAGGGTATACTAGATTCGTCGGAAAGTATGTAACAGGCAGAAGGAAGCGTTTCCGACCCCATAAAGTGTATATATTCTTGATCAGGATCACTAGCCAAGTCGATCTAGCCATGTCCGTCTGTCCGTCTGTCTCTCGGAAACTATAAGAGGTAGGCTATTGAGATTTGGCATGAAGGTTCCTGAGCTTCTTACGCAGCGCAAGTTTGTTTCAGAAATGTGCCACGCCCACTCTAACGCCCACAAACCGACCAAAACTATGGCTTTTACAGTTTTGATGCTGGAATAAAATGAAATGTACTGTCCTCAGCAATACCTATCGGTTAACCCAAAAAACAGTTTGCCACGCGCACTTTAACGCTCACAAACTTAAAAAAAATCGTAAATATGAACGCGGATATCTCAGAAACTATAGAAGATAGAGAATGTGCAAGTGCAAGTTTGTTACGCGAAGAGGCCACGCCCACTCTACCGCCCACAAACTGCATAAATCTGTGGTGCCCACAATTTTTATGCTAGGTACAAAATTTTTACTGAAATGTATTAGTCTTGTTAAAACCAATCGATTAATCCAAAAAAAAATCGACGCCCACAAACCGCCTAAGCCTGTCGCGCCCACAATTTTCATGCTAGAAAAAAATGTTAGCTGAAAGGTTTTGAAATGTATACATACAAAGGTTTTTGAAATGTATTAGTCTCGTCAATACCTATCGATTGACCCCAAGAAAAGTTTGCCACGCCTACTCTAACTCCCATAACGCTTAAATCTGGCTACCGCCCTCATAACTATACATATATTGAGATCACGGGTAGGTGGCGCATTTCAATCTCGCTTTACTCCTTGCATATCTCCATTTCCCTTTGGTCCCTTTAGCTGTGTAACAGGTATCTGATAGTCGAGGTATTCGACTATATCGTTCTTCTTGTTAATACCCTTCAGTTCCAAAAAAAAAGTTTCACTTGTGAATCACCTTGTGAATCCCGTGGGACATGTCCTCTTGCACAAGTGAAGAACAAGTGACGCTCCATATAGAAAATTGTATGGGATGTCCGCATTTTCACAAGTGAAAATTCAAATGAAAATTTTTCGAAGTCCTACGGGAATTCACTTGTTCCTTATACTCATTTTTCGTATGGCCTGTCACGTGCCGGTGACTCGTCCCAAGTGAATCACTTGGGAAAATCAGAATTTTTCCTTGAGTTTTCACTTGTGAAATCACTTGCAAGGGACACGTCCCAAGTGAAACACTTGGGAAAATCATAATTTTTCCTTGAGTTTTCACTTGTGAAATCACTTGCAAAGGACACGTCCCAAGTGAATCACTTGTGAAAATCAGAATTTTTCCTTGAGTTTTCAATTAAAAAAATTTAGAATTTAATTCATTTCATTTTAATTCATTTTAATTATATGGTACTATTTAGATTTTCAAAAATTGTACAATTATTGTTTCTGTTTTTTTGCTTCGTAAGCTTATTTTTAACGTTAGACATCGCCGTTCTTAAACCTTTGTCCGGGTCCTCTGAATCCTTGGCCAACGCTCCTGAAAAAACATATGTTTAAAAAATGCGTTTTATTTGTTTAATTGTATATTTACCTTTTATAGCTTGTTGCAGAATTTTTATTGGCACAAAACATTTCGTCATCCACTTTCGGCTAACGGAACCCATTGAATACCTTCAAAATTTACGTACTTTAAACTAAGATCAATGCACAACATCTTAAACTTAATGTAGCACTTACCTGACTTTATTATATTAACTAAACGATTAAAGTAACTCTGCTGCGCACCATTAAAATGGATGCTTCCCTTTCAATCACTCAAACAGAATGCACCAAGTCTTCTCACCCCTTTACTAGATTTCTTTTGTTTTCTCTTCGCTGTTGGCGCGTTCCACTGCACCTATACCCTTTCTAAAGTGAAATATATCCGACTATATAGTTTTTACTCCTTGAGTAAAAAATACAATACGATTTTTTTTAAAATGTTAATACTTAAATGTTTTAAATACTTAAATCCATTTTAACGGACTAATTTTCTATAACCTAACTAAAAAATTATATTGTAGTAAGAATGTATAATAAGTAAATATAACATTATAAGTAAATTCAATTTACTTAATTTTACTATAATCAAATAATTTACTTTTATAAAACAATATTAGTTGTTTTTTTTTATATACAATAATGCTCCTAAAATATTAGGGCACTCACATGTCGCTGCGCCACGAAAATTTTTCCGCCGAAACACTAGTCGCTAGCCGAACATAACGGAGAGACTCAAAAGAAATAACGGACCTGCCGAAATTTGTCTCTGAGAGCGCCGAGTGCAGGCAGATTATAAGACAAAGAAAGAGAGGGAAGCTTCGAATATCTGCCTCACTTTGTTGCACGATCGTTTTCGTAGGCAGTCTTCTACACTGCGCCGACTTCTCTGCTGACGTCAACAGCGGCACAGCGTTTTAGGCACAAAAAAAAAAACAAAAAAGCTTTTTGCCTTGAGCCATGTCACCGCGTCCCTACTGCAGAACTGAAGGGTTGTGCAAGAGGACATGTCCCACGGGATTCACATGTGAATCTTTTTCTTTGGAAATGAAGGGTTGTGACAAATTTAGTACACTGTGTCACGTCTTACTGTTTGATAGCATGCAAGTTATTACGATAAACTTACGTGTTTTCTATCTTCCAATAATTTGTAAATTTCTATGTTGCTAACCATTCTATATGAGCATGTATTTTAAACTGTCTATTGTTATATCGTCTTTTTTCATGTCCGCGAATTCGATTACTTTCCCAAATCGGTTTAGGGCTCCGCGCGTAACAAGCATTGCTTGTACTGACCATAGTGCATCAACGTCCAAGAATTTTAAAGGGGTTCAGAGGTTGAGTGGTTTTATTCCTAGCAGTAATTGCCGTTGGGAAAAGTCTTCCAACGCAGTATTTAGACTTGTGCAGCAGTTGATTTATCATAAAATTGTAGTCAAATGATGTAGTCCAGCGATTAAATAAACACTGTGCTAATAATAAATTGTTGTATCCGTTACTGTTAGAGTGTATTTTGTGTATATTGTATTCGGGGAAAATTGAATTGATTTCATGATAATACACAGTATTTGATAGTTTCCGAGATAACAGCGTTCATACTTACGATTTTTTCAAGTTTGCGGGCGGCTTGTGGGCGTTAAAGTGGGCGTGCCAAACTTTTTTTAGGTCAATCGATAGGTACACTGGTAAAAAAAACGCGTAGTGAAATCAAATATATTTTTATTTGATTAAGTTTACTTCCCTGCATAGTCATACTAAATATAAAAACCTTTCATTTAAATAAAAAACATATTTAAGCCTTATGTGAAATAAGTAAGTATTCAATTCAAATTGAATTTTATTTAAAACCAAGTTAGTCACATTTAAATCCAATGTGGCCATCTTGGTTTTAATTGTTCTAAAAAGTACTTAAATTCAATGTATATTTGATGGTTTCTTATATTTCGAGTAAATACTTTTTTAA